AATCTATATTCTATTCCCTTAGATCAAGTATTGAATCAGTTGCATCAAATTAAATGTTTCTGATTGTCAAGCCTCCTCCTACTATAAACCAAAATTTGTCTCTTAATTTGTAATATATTATAACAGGAACTTGATCTATTGTGTCAATTATGATTTTAGTAGTTTATGAATTTTTATCAAAGTTCTTAAATATTCCAAGATTTGGCTGATACCTTATCATAGAGTGGGATTGATTTGAAAACAATAAGATAGTGATTGTTGCTGACTCGTAAGGTGAACCTAAAATATAGGCTGCAGTCAAGGCATCTTGCAAAGAATGGTAAGGCTAATAAATTGAGCCATCTATTATTGCTTCTGTCTCCAGTTTCTCTCTAGTTTAAACATAAATAGTTCTCTCAAACTATCCTTATTTCAATAAGCATGATCCGGTATTTCCTCCATCAATAAATTTTAAGTAATAGCCTCTCTTACATGATTTGCATTCATTTTTAGATGCACATTCATAGCAGGATGAATTACAATCTTAGCACAATGTTGTTTCGATCATACCTTTATTATTAAAAGAAGTATTTCCATATCTCCCAATGCCACAATTAGTAACGCATGTTCCTGTTAATTAGTTAACATAACCATCTAGGCAAGCTAAGATTTAGTATTAAAAGACATCTATGCCATTCTGATCTAATTTATGGGTACACTTTAATGTTTTTACAAGAGCCCCATTTTCTTAATAACATTCTATAATTTATTAATAATTTTATTATTTTACAATAGCAAAGATTTTAAATTCCTATTTAATAAGTAGAATAACCTTAAATGCAAATGTCACATTCAAACTCAGATTATGCTTCAATACAAAGAGTTGGTTAAACATCTAGATAATAATTCATTAAACTTTAAATTTACTTACGTTTTTAACATCCATTTTAATATCTATCAGTTGTTGTATTATAGTAACTATCCTTTCCCAGGTAATAGCCTGATTTGCATTTCAAACAGTGTTATTAATTCTCATAATCAAATATATCACAGTTCAAATCAGAGCTCAATTGTGAAATTGTTAATGGAACTAATAATCGTATTAATTTCAATTTCAGTCTTACAACAGGGATTTTCTAAATCATTTTCAAGTATAGCTCTCTGTCCAACTAATTGATTACATTTTGTACAAAGCTAAGGATTTGTTGATAGGCATGTCTCACAATCATAATCAGATTAGCATTCTAAATCAATTAATGCCTATTAGTACTTACTAGAACATTATTTGAAATAAGAATCTGATCATGTGATAGAAATCAAAGAATTAGTCCACCCATTTTATAACTATTGACCTTAGCAAGTAACGCAACCAGTATTTTAATCACAATCCAGACAATTTATACCACACCCTAATAAGTCCTAAAAATTTGAATTCTTACATTAGCACATTGAAGTAACAAGATTGCTCGAATAAGATTAATGAGCTTAGTTACAGTCCTAAGTACAATATTAGTAAAAGTTCCTTAAATTTCCAACTGTCATATCCTGTGTAAGAAGAAATAATCCACTTGAGCATTCAAGACATTGAAGCATGATGCTTTCAGAACTTGAGTATAATTAACAACTGTTGCATCCATAAATTCTATCATTACATTCTAAAAAGATGTTAGTAAAACTATAGGTTACATATGCAAAGTTATGATTCTTCGTCAAAATACTGATTGTTTTCACCTTAAATATCTTAGATAAACTATCTTACAATCCTTTGTAAAAATTAATGTTAGAGTAACCAAGACTATGTAAAGAAAGAAATATCTGTTAAAAATAGCGTTTTCTCATTTTAAGCTTCTTATGTTCTAGCTAATAAATTTTATAAATAATAATTT